ATATTTTTATTTTTTTTCTTGCATACACATCTTAATTATTAATTATTAAACAGCGAAAATAAAAAAGTATATATAAAATAAAATAAAAAGGTTTTAGGTGGTCCTCCACGAATAAAAGCTTATCATTGAGGCCCTGATTCGGTAACATCACTTATCAATAGTTTATAAAAATTTGGATGGAAAATAAAATTCAAGAAAAAAAAGGCTTCTAAAATATTTATTTATTAGAAACGTCCATAGCAGCAATATTTTAACTTATTTTTAGGTCAGTAACTGGACAAATATATTTTTTATTGGTAAAAATTGATGTGAGGTTATATTATTAACTACATTGGTTACTACGAGGATAGAATAATATAACGATTATATATAATATATAGTAATATATAGTTTATATATAATATACATAGATTATATATAATATGTAGTAATATATTACTATATATATGTAGTAATATATTACTAATATATAGAACCTATATATTACTACGAGGATAGAATAATATAACCTCGTTTTGGTTACGCGCAGCTTAAAGCCATAAGTTTAACAAACAGATTGTAATAGCTGTTCTAAAAAGTAAAGAGTACTATAAAAATAAGACTACCCAGTAAACACAGATTGGTTCAGAATTGGTCAATATTATTTCGAAATTGATCGAAAAATGGATAAAACGTTTAGCGACCTATTACTGACTAAAAGCTGACGCTTGGTTTAAAATGCATATTTTAATCTTTTTTATATATATGTTCACTAAACGTTAATCTAACGTTTAGAATATCGACTTACATTAATCAATATTGTTAACTTTTAACCGACCTTAACTAAACGCAAACATTTATAGATTTATAATCTACGCTTTAAATCTTTTAATATATACCTTTATTAAACGTCGATTAAACGTTAACAATATTGACTAATATAAGTCGTTATTCTAAAAGTTTGATCGACGTTTAATAAAAGTTTATTTTATTATAATATAGTAATATAGCCATTGGTCAGAAGACTAACATAACAGTTTAAGTCACGTGGTTTAAATAGGCATAATTAAAACGAAATAAAAACATTAAAAAATTATTTTTTATTGGCTAAATAATTAAATTAGACTTAAATGCGTTTTCAAGATTCACTTCCTTACAACATCTGAAAGCAAAACGACTGATAAATAAATAATAAACGAGTGTCTGGTGGGCCATTTTAATTCATGGAAGTTAAAAAGCTGTTATAGTGACAACCTACCTTCCTAAATGCCAACAAATCAATGGACTCCGATGTTTTAGAAATTATTGATGGCGACATTGACACAGTTAAAAAATATGAGTTGCTAGTCTCTCGATATAGAAGTCCTGCTGCAAGAACCTTTTTCTTTATTTTTATAAACAGTTAGAATTTATTTTGTAAACGTTAGTATGATTGTGTAACAGTAGGTATTCATTTTTGCAAAAACCAAGAGGTTTAATAACTAAATATTTATTTTTTTATTTTAGATTTATTTTAGCTTAATTTAGTTATATTTGCTAAGAAAATTGTTGGAAAAAAGCAGGTAAAAACCACTGTATATGTTATGTCGCGACGTTACTAATTTTTTAATTTCAAAAATAAACATGGATTGTACAGAAAATTTGGGAAACTTCAATTCAGAATATCCTCTATATGTAAAGTTGTTTAGTGTAATTCCAATTTTGATTTATGAATGTACATTTAAAATGCTAACTATTTTATCTTAGTTTTGTGGTTACAAATCAGGTTATGAAATCAGACAATCAGGATACGAATGTAGAAGATGATAAACTTATAACTTAGGGTAGACGGCATTCTAGGAAGATTTTTGATAATGCATAAATCAGAAAAACATCGATTCAAAATATTTGTTTATGAGTTTATTAATTTTTTAGTAATCTTTGACTTAATCTTAATGTAAACTTTTATTTTCTGCTAATGAGATTAAATTTAAAAAATATTTGATAGAAATTGTTACTATAAAATTGGTAATAAAAAGCTTGGTCGTTTAATTTTTTTAATTATCGAAACATAAACAAGTATAGTGTACAGACATTTTTTCTTTAAATCCCCACTATATGAAAAAGTTTTATATAAGTTTATAACTTTATATATAGTTTTATAAAATAAAAGTATAATATAAGTTGTATAGTACAAAAGTTTATAAACATGTTGTAAAAAGTATAAAAAATAAGACCTGGAGTTTTATAACTATATCTTATTTCTATATTTCATTATTTTTATAACTATAAATTAATACTTATATAAAGTTAAAAAGTTATAACGTAATTTTACTTTATATTAGTTTTAAAACTTAAATAAGTTAAAATTACGTAAATTAAATCAAAGAAGCTATTAGACATGATCTAAAAGTTTAATATACGTTTACTTGGACTAAATCTAAACTCTTTATATACATTAATTAGACTAGATTTAAACGTAAATTAGACAAAATCTAAACGCTTTATATACGTATAATAATCCAATAATAGACGTCTTATATACGTTTTATGGATGTTTGTTCTAAACGTTAATCTGGATTTCATTCTAAACGGATAATCGACCAAATCTGAACGTTTTGTCGAAACGTTTTTTGACGTTTAATTGACGTTTATGTGTTTTCTAGGTATACTTATATTGCAACCCCATTTAAAAATATATTTAAAACTATGGATGAGGAAATAACAAATGTTTATACCGGGAAAAGAATAAATCAGCATTTTGACAACCCTAAAAAATCTGTTAAAATCTCAAGTAATGACCATTAAGACAATAATCGTATGTGCCCATATTGTACTTCAATGGTTAGTAAACTTTTTTGTTCACGTCCCCCTTATCCACTTTTCTATAAAAATGCAAACATTATTTCCCTTCCCCCGGCCATATATAGTTATAAGTTAAAAAAATACATTTGTATTATTAGTAAGAAAAAAAAGTACCGTGAAATGTAGTTACTTTGGACAGTAGGGTAACGTAGGACAAAAACTTAGAGTAAAACTTTTTCTAGTGTTTAAAAAGTTTTTTCATCTTTTATTTTAGAATAAAAGAATTTCTTAATTGTAGAAAAATTTTAACAAACAGCATATAAATATAATGCATTCTGAGCAGTGAACCATTCCAATAGAAAGTTAAAAACTTTATATATTCATTTTTTTGTTTCACTAAACTTTAGCTCCCTTTGGAAACAATTTGAAACATTTACATTTTTTTAAAGATATTAATATTTAGCTAAAGATTTCATGACATGATTTTAAGTAGTTTTTTCATAGTTAAACAATCTAAAAAAAATATATCATAAATAAATTTTTTTAGATTTATTTAAATGTGAAATATTTATTTAACCTTATCTCAATCTGTTTTTCAACGCATTTAAATGCCATCTTGTTTTTAATAATATTTTTCTTACTTATAAACAATCTCCTCTTGTTACAAAAAATCATTCGCTATATATATATATATATATATATATATATATATATATATATATATATATATATATATATATATATATATATATATATATATATATATATATATATATATATATATATATATATATATATATATATATATATATATATATATATAGGTATGTGACATGAAATTTTTAAATTTATCAAATACTAGATTGCTTTATATCATTAAAAAGAGCTTGATTACAGTATTTTAAAAGTAAAAAAATTATTAAAATCATAGCATTTCTAAGTACGAATTTTTTATATATGTTGAAAAAACGGTGACCAAAAGAAAAACTCTAGTTTTTCTTAACTTAAAACGTCATAACTATGTCAACTCTTATCCAAGTTTATACAACTTAAGAGTATCAAAAGAAAGGTCTTAAATGGGAGAATAAGAATATGAAAGGTGTATTAGGAACGTCAGAGGAGCGTTTACAATGCTCTCATATATTTAAAATGTATATTTATTTAAGGAATAAAATTTTATAAACAACATCATATATAAATATACCTTATTTTTTGATCTTCAAGTGTTGTTTTATATATCTTCTTTATTGTATTAAAAGTAGTGATCGATCGAAACAGAAAAAAAACCGAAACCGAAATAAACCGAACTCTAGTTCAGTGTCGAAACCGAAACCGACATTTCACCAAATAGGCCGGGTAAATAAAAAAACACAAATACTTTTACTCAGCGTTTTTCGAGTATTTGCTCAGCTTTACATGAATAAAATTTCTAGCAATTTTGCTTAAATTTTATTTATCGTTTTTGGAGTAAATTGCTCAAATTTATGTTAATAAAAAGTTTGAGCGATTTTGCTACAATTTTATATTTTAATATTTTGAAATATTATTCAGATTTTTACAATATATTTTGCCAGTCCACCATTAAATATGATTGAAATATTATTTAGATTTTTACAATATGTTTTGCCAGTTATTAAATATGATTTGGATACCTTAGATTAGTTACCTTAGGTTATTGGGATACCTCCCCTCTCCCCTTTACCTCAGGTAGGTAGGGGAGGGGGTGTTAGTAATGGAATAATTAACTTTTTTTATTAAATAATAGTATTTATAAGTGTACACAAACATTTTGTACAAAAAAACAAACTAAAAATTATACTATAACTAAAAATTATAAAATAAACTTAACATACAATAAGACTATATACAAAATAAACTTCAAAAAAACTATATTCTTACACACTTCACATACACCTACCAATAGGTGTATCTACATACACCTATTGATATATGCATATACGTATAAATAAATGTATGTATAGTAGTTAAAAACTACGCTAAATTTTTTTCTGCCACCATCTCTACTGCTAACCTTTCTGCCACTCTGATACTTGTAATAAGGCAAGTCTTTGCCTTTATTCTGGACCTAGATATGGAAAGCCCGTTTTAATTAGGCCCAGGGTGGCTGGGGCACCAAATCAAAAATTCTCTTTCTGACAAGCCAATGTTTTGTAAAAAAAAAATTAATAAAATAATCAAAAAATTTAAATGAACAACAAAATGAGAAAAAAATTTACTCTGCAGGTCTTTACCACCATTGTTGGCGCCAGATGGCAGTCGTGGCATTGATGAAGCTGGTAAACTTGAAAATTTTTTAAAACTTTAGTAAAATCATTGAAAATTGATACTAATCTGTCTATAAAAACTTTAAAAAAAGACAAATAAATTAACTTACAAAAAGCCGCTACTTATTTGTTTTGCAACAGCTAAAATTAAAAAAATATTTTAGCTCTATTATCTATTGGCTTTCTAATCAACTCAGTAAGAAAAAAAAATTTTACTAAGTATTTCTTTTCTTTTGGTTAAAAACAAAATTTATTATTACTAATTATCTTCAGTTTGTATAATGCCAGGAAAAAAGTTTGTTTTAGCAAAAAAGTTTTCCGAACTAAAAGATATACACTTTTATGAAGTATTTAATGTTACAGCTTTTGGTTGTAAACTAATAATAAAAGTTTATACCAATCTGCTTTTTTATCCTCACTAAAAAAATTATTTTAATCAATTCAATAAATTTTAAAATAAAATTAAAAAACTTTTATCATAAAAAATTAAAAAGTATTTAATTATAGTATTTATGTTGGAACTTTTGGTAAATTTTAGAGAACAAATTGAAAATTTGTTCTCTAAAATTTACTTGTATATTTCTGTATTTAGGAAAACAAACTCTTTTTTCCTAAATACAGAACAAAATTTTAAATAGATTTCGTAAAAAAAATTTTTATAAAATGTTAAAACAGATTTTTAATCTTTATATAAACCAAGTTCATTTTCTTCTTCTAAATATAAATAACTGTAAATTAACCATTTCGAAACTAACCAATTTAGAGAATAAAAAATAAAGAAAAGATGAAAACTAAATAAATTAACACTATATATATATATATATATATATATATATATATATATATATATATATATATATATATATATATATATATATATATATATATATATATATATATATATATATACATATATATATATATATATATATATATATATATATATATATATATATATATATATATATATATATATACATATATATATATATATATATATATATATATATATATATATATATATATATATATATACATATATATATATATATATATATATATATATATATATATATATATATATATATATATATATATATATATATATATATATATATACATATATATATATATATATACTATATATATATATATATATATATATATATATATATATATATATATATATATATATATATATATATATATATATATATATATATTAATATATTAGTACTTATAAACACTTGTAAAAAAAGGTGATTAATTCAATATTTTAATTATTTCAATAATTTTTAAGGTTACTCAAATGAGAGGAGTGGGAGGAGCGACTCCACAGAAAACAGTTTAAAATGTTTTAAATGCTATCAAGGAATACAGGCATTATTTAGAGGAAGGAAGAAATGAAAAAAGTAAATTTACGAGCACTCCTTATTATAAATGCATAATAAGGATGCTCATTTTCTCCTATTCATTATTTGCATATATATTTGCGGTCTTTTTTTATTTTAATTTAGTTTTTTTATCTTTCCAAAACTAATAGCAAGTATTTTAATATAAATTTTTATTGTAGAAAAATTTTTATTGTCTTTTAGTTCGTTGACTTTTTGGAAATCAAATTCAAAAGCAAGGTTCCTTTTATTTTGCTTTTGAATCTAATTGTTTACTTTTGGTTTCTAAAACATGCTCTATGGTTGACAGACAATTTTTTAATAAATATTATTTCTTTAGATACTATTGTAGGTTGCAAAATTGATTATAATGCAAGCAACATCGAGTGTGCAATTAGCGACATATTAAAACAAACCAAAAAAATAATGTTTTCGCTAGATTGTATTTATATATTAGTATAGTCAAAAATATATTCTTTATATTTTTTTTTTGATTTGTTTCAACACTGGGATTTAATTATTTATGCAATAACCTTATTATTATCCTAATGAAGGTTGCCACACGTGTTGAATCCCCAAACACGTGTATATTAAATTTAGGCGTTGTGGGAAAAAAAAGACTTTATTTCTTATATCAAGACTCCATTTTTATAGCTATTAAAAATGGAGTCAGTATGAGAATGAACTGAATAAAATTAAACGGTGAATGAATGGAAAAAATTTGGACGTCCAGCAGCGTCTATTGTGGACCCTTGAACGGACTGTTTTGGACGTCCTATGGACGTTCGTGCGTCTATTGGGATGCTTCCTATGATGCTACAATGTTGTAGGAAGCCATTAAAAAAGTAAAAAAAACAAAGAACTATCAGTTAGAAAAACTTCAAATTTATATAACATAAAAAGAGGGTCTTTAAACAATCATGTGCAAGAGCTACGCAAAAAGAATTTTGGCCATCCAACAAGTATAAATGAATTTGAAGAAAATAGTATTGTGAAACATATAAAGACAGTCAGTAATTGGGACTTTTCTTTTACCTCCTTCAATTTAAGAGTAACAGTAAAACGATATTTAAATACCACTGGAAGAAATGTACCTTGTTTTAAAAATAATACTCCTTCACGTGAATGGTTATTTGGATTTTTGAAATGCCACAAAAACAGTCTTTGCCAATGATTATGTCAAAGTTGTTGTGCGAAAGTATCTAGAGTTTTAATTAATAAATACTGTAATAATTTACAAAGTTCATTAAAAGATGAAAATGGAAACATTTTAGATTGCTCAATAATTTTAAACTTTTTTAAAAATGTAAAAGAAAACATATCCAATTCTGTAGTTAGTGTGCTTGAATCTATGAGATTCGGCAAAGATGTAGCACCAAGTTGTACCCCTAAATATTCCAAACTTAATGTTGAACTAAGTAAAAGTGTGTCGTATTAAGTTATTAAAAAAAATAATGGCAACAATTCAAAACATGAAGAAATTTTGTCAAAAATCAAGTAAGTACACTAGAAAACAGACTTAAAAAAAGACAGTCGATTCTGACAAATTGAACATAATAATATAATAATAGTGCATATTGTTTTGTTAATAGTTTTGTTAATAGTAGTAGTAATAGTAGTTAAAACTATAGTTGCGTTAACAGCAAATGAGTTAAAACTCACTTTGACAGCTTTTGATATTATACAACAATTCGATCCAAAAAAAATAATATATATTAAACAAAAATAGATTTTTAAGTTAATTTTCGATACTAAATGTATGTCTAATTTGTTCTTAAAATTGTTTACATTTGTTGAATTGACAATTTCCAATGGCAATGTGTTCCCTAAATTTGCTGTTCTGTATATAAGGAACTCGTGTCTCAGTATAAACTTGGTTTGTTCTTTACTGTATTTCTTATTGTGGCCTCTGCATTTTGAGAAAGTTTGTTTGTTTAAAAGTTCTACTTTTTCAATTTTATTGAAAATTTTAAATACTTGAATAAGATCTCCTCTCTTTCTTTTTTCTTTCTTCTTCCTTTCTGAATTTGTAAAATTTAGTGTCTGTAAACGGTAATGCAGACTAGTTATGTTCTTTGCTATCCTTTTCATTCTGTGCTGCTTTTTTCTAATATTTCAATGTCACCTTTGTTGTTTGGTGACCAAACTTGTGCTGCAAATTCAATCAGAGGTGTAACGAAAGTTCTGTATAATTGCTTGACAAGATGCTGATTTAAATAGACAAAGGTGTTTTTTATCATCCCCGTTATTGCATTGGCTTTTGATGAACATGTTACAATGTGTTCCTTTCATTTCAGTGATGTATCAAAATTTTCACCAAGATCACGTTCATTTTTCAAACTGTTAATTTCTGATCCATTAACTGTGTAATTGATTTTAATGTGGTTTTTACCGTAATGCATAAACACACATTTATTCTCATTTAGTTTAATTAACCATTTTTCTGACCACTCTTCTATATTATTTAAGTCTCTTTGAATTAATTTAGCGTTTTTAATTGAATTTACTGCTGATAAGATTTTGGTGTCATCTGCATATATTTTTACAATGCTTTTTTTTTTCTCTGGTATGTCATTGATGTATGCTACAAAAAAGAATGGCCCAGGAATGGATCCTCGTGGAACACCACTTAATAAGTTTCTCATTGTTGACACTGCATCACTTTAAACCATTCTTTGTATTTGATTATTCAAAAACGCATCAATCCAGTTTTAAAATTTTCCTTTTATTCCATATGCGTTCAATTTTAAAATAAGTCGCTTGTGTGGCGTGCTAACAAATGCTTTTGCAAAATCTAGCCTTAAAACATCTACAGGTATATTTTTTGATAAATTGTGTATGACGATATACCGAGAGTCTCTAAAAGGTTTGTGGTACATGATTTCTGTTTCAGAAAACATGTTGCCAAATATATTTAAATTTCATTTCTTATAACTCTTTCAAATATTTTGCATGCTGTTGACATTATTGACACAGGTCTGTAGTTTGATGCATTTAACTTACATCCTTTTTTTGAAAATTGGTGTCACATTTGCTGCACACTACTGTAGAGGCAGGTTACATGTGTTGTAAAACGATTTGTAGATTAACGCAAGTGGCAAGGCAAATGAATTTGCACATTGCTTTGATAAAATAGGATGTAAATTGTGTGCACCACACACTTTGTATGTATTTTGTGTTTCAAGATGATTCAGAGTATCTATGTAATCAATAAAACTGTCATTTAAATCAAGTGAGTGACTCATTAGTTTATTATTGACTTTTTTTTGTATCTTTCAATTTGGCTACTAATTTATGTATCTTAGATCTTTTTTCATCGTTCTAATTCTCTAAGGTTATCGCTAAACGATAGAATTCTGTTATGTTTGTGTTTTGCATTAACATTAATTTTTGGTATAACTAAATTACTCAGAAAATTTATGTTTAATATAAAAGTATAGAACATTTGTTGTGTTGTTGATTCATGAAAACAGAAGTTCCAATCGATTAAGTTATTTTTTTTGTTTATTTTTGTGCAGTCTTGTAGTCAAATTTATACTTTGGTGTTCTGCTATTCTGTTTAATGTTTAGTTCAAGTTTAAATGTCAATACTAAGTGTTCCATTTTTGTACAACCCAGGACTTCATGTGATTGTAGCTCAAATATTCTGTTAGTATCGTTGGTAAATATCAAGAGTAGAGTTTTTTTTTAACTGTGTTTCTGACAGTTGAAAAGTTGGAATATTGACATGCTACAATAAAAATTCGCCGTTTATTATATCTGTAAATATGTGTTCAATTGCATTTTCTCTACTCTTTGCTCTCTCAACATATCCACTATTTCAAATAATAAGCCGGGTGAATAAAAATGAGCAATCGCTTTTACTCAGTAATTGGTCACCTTTACGTGAATAAAAACTTCAGCAGTTTTGCTCAAACTTTTATTCACGTAAAGTTAAGCAATTTACTTAGTAATTGCTCAGCTTTACGTAAATAAAATCTTAAGCAAAATTCCTGAAGTTTTTATTCACGTAAAGCTGACTAATTACTGAGTAAAAGCAGTTGCTCATTTTTATTTACCCGGCCTAATGTTTTGAAAACTGAAATCTCCTATTAATACTACATCTGTATATATTTTAATATCTACTTTATCTTTGCACCATGTATAATTTGTCAAAAATCATTCATGCCTATTTGATCGTTTGTTTGTTTAAATGTATATATATTCAATGAGGTATTTGATATTTCTAATTACAACGACAGCCCATATATGTTCTATTTTGCTGTCCTGATAACCATTAATTATTTCATATGATGTAAGGTTGTTTTCTATGTACAAGACAACTCCACCACCTTTTCGCTCATCAGATCTATCTTTCTTGTATACGATGTAACCTTCTAACTGTATAATGGATGAGTTTTGAAACCATGTTTCAGTGATTCCGGCTATATTGACTTTTGCCAAATGATGTTCCATTTGTATATAAACATTGTAGGTATTTTTTAATACAGCTCAGTTCTTTTTTCGTTTTCAACATTTAAATTTGACAAGTCCGATTCCACGTACCCCATTTCGAAAGGAATTATCTGGTCTTCTTTCTGCACTTTTTGTTTGTCTTAATTTTCTGAGCTCCATATTTTCATAACGCTCTGCTTCTATCATATCTGGTGAAATATAAATACAAATATGTTTGTAAAAATTCTTATACATTTATTCTAAGAAATAATGATAAATATACTTATATATATTCCAACATTCTTATACGTATTCTTACACTATTATGTATATTTAACATTCTTATATATAATAATAAACTTATTTTGTAAATATTTCATACTTTGTAAATAAAAACAAGTAAAATAACACGGTTAGCACAGATCCTTATAATGCATACCTAGCTGTCCCAAGAACTCCATTTATACGGAAAGTTAGCGTACACATCAAGGTATCCTGTGATGCAAATTTTGAAATCAATTAATTTGTCCACGGAAAATAATTTAGATTGAATGTTCAAATTAAGTCAAATTTTAACTTCATAGTGCGCCAATAAAAACACTTTTAGAATTTGAACCACTCAATATAATTTGATAAAAATTGATGCAAATGTAGCCCATAACCACACAAAATTCTAGACAAAATTTCAGCCTGATTAGATAACTAGTGTAGGATTAATTGCAGTTTTAGTTGAAAAATTATCAGTTTTTTGCTTCTTATACCTCAAAGCGTTACTGATTACTTTAAAATTCGGTCACTATTTTTAAAATAACGGTTACATGAGTGTTCTACTATGTAATACCAACAATTTTTGTTATAATTATTTTATCGGTACATATACATTTTTCATTTTATAGACCAAAATAGTGATTTGCTACTTAAAGTGTGATTTGAATTGGCTTATGACAATGGGGTTGACACGGCCTTCAAAGTGGAGGGATCAACCCCTCAATTTGTAAAATAAAATCCATAGTTTCTAAAATAATTGCCTATTTC